TTTTTTTTTTTTTTTTTTTTTTTTTTTTTTGGCACCAGGGATTGCACTAAGGTCCTTGCTCTTGCAAGGCAGGCCACCAAACCACTGAGCTAAATCCCCAGCCCTCTCTCTTGCTATTTTTAAGAAATCTCTTTTTTCATGGTCACTAACTGCAATCCTGACTTGTATATCTGATATTCTGTCCTCACATTGGCTCATTCTGCTGTGTATACCTTCAATGGCATTTTTATCTCTTGGATATCTGTTTGAATCTGTTTTATGGATTCCAATACTTTCTTATGCTGGATATTCATGGATTTCTTCATTTTTCTCAGCTTCTCCATTTTTTTATTTGTGTGTGCTCTAGAGCTATTAACCAATGCTTTCTTTATGTTCACCATCTCCATTGTTATCTTAGAAATTATTTCTGATTTCATTTTTTCTAGAGCTTCTTTCATCTATTTTATTACTTCTCTTGTTACCAATTCAGGGAGTCCAGGTAAATGAGTTTCAGATTGTTCCATCTCTTAGCTCCCTGGATTTGCCTTTGATGATACAGAAGTTAGAGTGTGCATTTTGTTTTGGTGTCTTCTCATTTCTATTTTTGTTGTTGTTGATGTTTTTTTGGTTCAATTCTGGGTTGCTGCTTCTATATTGTTTATTGTGTGTGACTTTAGTGCTAGTATTTAGACCTCTTCAAGAATGCCTACTTCTCAGACTGTCTTCCAGACATAGTTGACCTGTGGGTTTTAAGTATGTAATGGCTCTTAGACAATCTCAGTCTTCATATAGAAGGAAGGACAACTGACTAGATCACATCACCTTGGTCAAAGTAATACAATCAGCATCAATAATACTATCCAGCATAGCTTAGAAAATGACAAATTATGGTAACTGTTAATCTGACACTTGAACTAGATTTGTGGTTATATGTCAAAAATCAAGAACCAACCAGAAATATTTTTGCAGTAAATAAATCCTTCAGTATAGTAGATTTATCTTCTAGGAAGAAGACTTAGAAGGGTTGGATGGATAGATCAAGAGATAGAAGGAGAGGGAGAGGCTATGGTTAGAGCACACAGAAAGATCATGCAAATTTTGAGAAACTGGAAAAAACAGGAGGAAGAAAGAGAAGGAAGGAATAAAAACAAGAACAGAATAAACTAACAGCAGTAGGAAAACTAGATATTCATTCTCCTATAAAAATAAGAACAACTGAGAAAAAAGAAAAAGAAAAAAGACAAAAAGGGACAAAAACAGGAACAAGAAAGGAGAGAAATGAAGAAAGAAGGACAGGAGAAGGAGAAGAAGAGGAAGAGGAGGAGGAGAAGAAGGAGGAGGAGGAGGAGGAGAGGAAGAGGAAAGAGAAGGAAAAGAAGAAGAGCAGGAGAAAGAGGAGGAGGAGGAAAGAAAAAAAAATGTGAGCAGTAGCATGCAGATCCAAGTTGATTAATTTCAGCAAGCCAGCTATAGTCCACTGAGATTCAGGCTAGTTTCTGGTTACAAGGCTGGAATTGAGCTCCCCAACTTCCTGTGTGGTTCTACTGCACCTTTCTCCTGAAGTGAGTTCAGGTTCCAGTAGGAGGTGCTGATCTCACCAACTCACCAACCCCTGTAGCCCACTGCATCTTTATTACAGTGATGCTCTTCTCTCTCCCTGTGGACTTCAATATTTAACAGCAAGCTTCAGAGAGGGCCTATCTCTGCTGATCAGCACTGTACTATCTTCTCAAGCTCATAACAATGGCCTTTCTGCCCCATAGATCCAGATCCCTGTGTAGCAGCCCTCTGCAACCCCTGTGGTCAGGATGGAGCGGGCCCTCTGTTGGTCACCTGTGCTCTCATTTTTTATTTATTTATTTATTTTACTGACTTGCATGAGTGTTTTTAAATACTTTTCGAGCACATCTTTCTTTTGTTTGTTTGTATGTTTTAGAAAACCTTCTGCCAGTTTATACATTTTTTTGTTTGTTTTGTTTGCACACTATAATATTTTTGGATGAAAAGAAATTAAAAATTTTTCAAACTCATTGATCTTTTTCCTCATGACATGCACACTTTGGGCCTTGAATGGCCCTCCCTCCATCCTTCCTTCTTTCTTTCCCTTTGCTCCTCCCTCCCTTTCCTTCCTTTTCCTTCAGGTTATAAATGTATTATTTTCCTTTCTTCCTAAGATTTAAAAAAAAAACTTTTGTCAGATTTAACTGTTGATGATCTCAAACGAATAAGTTTTGTACTCTTGCTTCACTGCACTGTATTTTTATACATATGCACCAAGTTCCCTATGGCTGCTAAGTGCAAGTTATTGTACACTACAAGAGCTATCCAAATTGGAAACTATGCAAATAAGAGCCACTAATTTTTCATCCTGGAATAGACTGGCAAGCTCAGTCTCAAAATGTAATTGTGTGACTTCTTGGAAGATACCAACACAGTATTTCAAAGTGTTTTAAACATTGCATGCTAATTTTTTATTTGTAAACTACATTCTCAAAATGATGAATATTTTAGCCCATAGATGTGACAATTAATCCTGATATGTCAGCTTCATTGGATTAAGAAATGCCTACCAGATTAGTAGAAGATGCTTCTAAGTGTTCCTAGGTGGACCAAGTAGGCCTGGTCTTGTGTACTATATATCAGTGATCCCAAATCTTTTTAGTACAAGGGACCAGTTTCCTGGAAGACTATTTTTCAATGGATGGGGGCCGGGAGAGGTTAGTTTTTGAATGATTCAACCTAATCCATCAAATATGCAATTTACAGTGAGGTTCACAAACTTATGAGACTCCAATGCACCAGCCAGTCTGACAAGAATGAGAGCTCAGAGGTAACCAGAAGAGTGCCTGTAAATATAGATAAAGCTTCCCTTTCCTTCACTGATCACTTTCTGCTGTGTGGCCTTTCCTAACCAGTCCCAAGCCTGAGGGTTGGTCACCACTGCTATATAAGGTCTCCTGCCTGATCCTCTTGGCACTGTTCCCAGCTCTGCTTTCTGGTTGCCATGAACTAAAGGGCTTTTCTCCACCACGCCCTTGTACTATGAGATAATTGTCTTGGTGCCTGCCAACCATGAACACAATCTCCTGAAACCATGAGCTAAATCAAACCTTTCCTCCTTCAAGTTGTGTGTATTGTTTCCCAGTGAAGGGAAAGGTGACTAATGCAATAGTTATCAAACCTGATCTTTTCATCTTAATCTGGAAAAAAATGTTTTGTGAGAATGTGAGATTAAGCAGTGACTAGAGGCCACACTAAGAACAAACATTTGGAAATGTGAGATGCTACTAGGAGTTACCAATATTCTTGAGAGGTGAATGGTGGCTTCTGCTTCAACTGTTTAAAAGATTTTATTTTCAGGCTGTTATGAGTGATTTTTGTACATCTTTAGCAAATCCAATGCTTAGGGACCTTATTTTACACATTAAAAAATCCCTCTTTAAATGAACTTGAAAAAATTATGGGCAATAAACAATCTTGAATCGTACTACTCCTCCAGGAAATATCTAAGTATAAATAAATTCTTAATCCCCTTCTCCTAAAGGATATCAGGACAAATTTTAATGATGTTTAGTCTCAACAAAAAAATGGAACATGGTTACCTCAACTTTTTTCAGTGTAATTTTTATGTAAGGAACAGTTATATGTCTGGTATATTTTCTGTCATTTCTTTAGGTAATAAAAATGATCCAAATCATATTGACTAACACTAGCAATTCTTGGGTTAAAATGAAGTGTACTATTCATGTACTGGTAATAGCCTCCCATTTCACATCTGTGTAAAATTAAGTGACACACTTACATTACATCAAAAACCTGCCCCTATGAAGATCTAGGACAATCCACATGAAATTAATGACTTAGTTCTCATAAATGGACTTAAGCTGTACTACCTACTATGGAAATTTTAAAGCATGCCTTTGTTGTTTTCTTGGGCATTTAAAATATATGGGGTGGATACATGAATACAGTCTGGTTGAAATGATACAGGATAGTAAATATTCAAGTGTATCAGAGTAAAAAGAGGTAATGTAGTTGATCTTAATCCTGGGTAATAACCATCTAGGCCATTGGCCTGCTTTTGAACTGAGAACACACCTGCTTCCCTTTGCATCCTTTGCCAGAATGTGTGTAACACTTTGAGCTGGGATTTCAAGGACAGTCAATACAGATCATAGCAGAATCTCACTTATAAGACACCCTGGGTGTTCTGAGAAGAATTTGGGGAACCTATGCAACAGTTTGTGGACCAATAGGACTTCCATATTAGGCTTCCCCTTGGCTCTGGCCATGACATAGGCCCCTGTTTCATAATCCCTCTTGATGGAGAGGTACCTCTTGCAACAAAACTCAAATGCATTATTTTGGCTACTTAGTCTTCCCAGCTGTCACATGTCTTATGTCAAGTGTGCAGCTGGTTACAGCTGCAGAGATGATTTTGTCCATTAGAGTCTTTGGGAGAAGGCTGGTGCTTCCCCATTCTCAGATCATGAGTGGTAGATGTCTCCACAAAGATGACAATGAGAGAGCCTAGGCACCCTTGGAATTTGAGAAGATTCCTCCAACTGCAGGGGGAGTCTGAAGCCTCAGGTTTCAATGATGTACCAAAAAGCTAACCACTCAGACATTTTTGAAATTTTTCATTTTCATGATAATCTTGGTCATATTGCTTCTAACTTTGAATACTCATAAATGGATAGAAATGTCATTGTAGGGTAGGGGAGATATAAACTGTGTTTGCCTTGTAGGATAGTGTTTGTGGAATGGCCAATATTTTGACTCTGTTAAGAAAGCTTGAACCATTTTTAATTGACATGATAGTTTATATATTTTTTGGGCATTGTAATATTTCAATATAAATATACACATTGTACTCAATTCAAATTAGTCTATGAATAACTATCTCTTCAACCATCATTTTTGTGATGAAAACATTGAAAATCCTTTCTTCTAGCATTTTGAAATATACAGTGTTGCTTAATACAGTCACAATACTATGTAGAAGAACACCAAAACTCATCATGAAGATGGAATGCTTCAAGAATTTTCACATCTTTCTTGCACAGGGGCCATGTTAATCTTTCTTGGTAGCCTTCCAGTTTTCATATATGTGCTCTTCAAGAGAGCACAAGATTTTGGGTTCTTGAAAAGTCTTGTTGCAACTCTTATTTCAAAGTTGTACAAGAGTTCTAGGGACTCTATCAATCTATGAGACAGAAGATGTTCTACAGATGTCAGAGCAATGGGTGAAGAAGCAAGCAAAGCAGCTCTGTGTGTTTACACTTGGGCTGACATATGGAAAACAAATTTTCATCATGTTTGAGCACTAGGCTGTGTGTGTGTGTGTGTGTGTGTGTGTGTGTGTGTTGTGTTTGTTACTGCAATCAGGTAAAAACTTCAAGCCAATAGTACATCCTTTGTTCTTTGTCTCATGAGGAATCTGTATGTGTTTATTAGAAGTGTTTTGTGGATATTGATATGCAGAGATGTTGATTAGTCATGAAATTTTAGAGTAGAGCACAGCACTAAGCTACTACCTATTAGGTAAATTTCTTTTTTTTTTTTCTCATTGAGTTTATTGGTACATTTTAGTTATACAGTACAGTTACATTTATCATTGGGATCTTGTATCTTTACACGACAGGTCTGGTCTTGGTTCTCATTTTTTCCCCTTACCCCTGCCCTCCCTTCACCCCCTCCTCCCTTCCCTATTTACAAATACTTTATTTACATTAGGTAAATTTCTTTTACAACCATTAGAGTAAGTGTCCATTCACCCAATTTTGGGATACTATCACACTGCTTGAGGAGCTACTAAATTCCATAGGCAGACAAAATAAAGTTGGTAATAGAAAAGACTCGTCCTACTCTTAATTCACAAATTTACTTTAAAAGGCTATTGATTTCTTCCTTTTTTGAATTTACCTTTATATCTTTGCAAACTTCTTTATTTGTCCTTACATTACAGAGACTGCACCCTTTTTCATAGATGATGCCTAAAGAAAGAATGTATTCTCTTAATAATGAGAATTTATTGAATATTGACCACATGTCATACTCTCATCTGTTTATATGTATGACTTCATCTGTATAATTCTATTAGTTAATTACCCTTAAGGTCCTAATTAATTGAATATTAGCTGATTTGCCCATGGCCACCATGGGCTGGGTTAGGCTTTGAACTCAGACAGTTCCATGCAAAAGCTCATACTAAACTATTTCTCTTAGCTTCCTTTTTCCTTTAACTTCTTTCCCTGTAAGATCGAACTGTTACTTTTTGTCAATAATTACTTCTGCAACAGAGTATTCATATTTTTTTCCTGTTCATCATGGTCATTGCTATTTTTCTGGTTTGAGGCCTCCCTTTTCCAAGTCAGTTACACTGGTGACCCCTAGTCAACTTGTGGATGGACGATCGAGCAGTAGATCATGCTTGACACTCCTGCCATGCATAAAATCGAGGCATTTGTTCGTCTTCTTTGGGCCCTTAGTTCTCTGTCTTATTGAGTGAGACTGTCAAATGGTCTGGTGATTCAGACCATTTGTAATATTCTCCTTTTGTTATTGGAGATAGTTATATCTTAAAACACATTCTAATATTATGTTTGCTTAATGTATTATGCTTGGCTTAGAATGTACATTGAGACTTAAGAACAAGTCTTTGGGTCTACTAAAAACTTCAAGGAGCCAAGCATCTTGGGAATTATATTGATGTGCTAAGCATAAGCCCAATAAGCAGCAAACTAAAGAAAGCTACACTTTTCTAACCAGCATTTGTAATTAGAATAAGAACAACATAACTGAGTGCTTTTGTTTGTTTTCCTCCACTCCATCTATATAGTTATATGTTTCTTAACTGTATACAATCTCCATGTACTACATCCACATATTAAGAACACCTTAAGTACTTTGAAAGTGAGCTTCATAGCAGGTTTCTTTCCACAAAGAATGGCTGCTATCAAGAAATCAAACAATAACAAATGTTGTCAGGGCTGTGTGAAGAAAGGAACCCTTCTTCATTATTGGTGGGAGTGCAGACTGGTGCAACCACTATGGAAAGCAATATGGAGATACCTCAAAAAGCTGGAACTAGAGGTTCCATTTGACCCAGCCATCCCTCTGCTGTGTATCTTTCCAAAAGAATTAAAAGAATCATGTCACAGAGATATATGCGCACCTATGTTTATAGCAGCACAGTTTGTAATAGCTAAAACTTGGAAACAGCCCATCTGCCCATCAGTTGAAAACTGGATAAAGAAGATGTGGTTTTTCTATAAAATGAAATACTACTCAGCCATAAAGAATGAGAAAGTAGATTCATTCATAGGAAAATGGATACATTTTGAGGATATACTCCTAAGAGAAATAAGTAAGTCACACATGTGTAAATACTGAATAGTTTCTCTGGTGTGAATAAACTATAATAGTACACAAGATCCTAATGATATAATGGACAATGTGAATAGGAAGAAAGGGGCTGAAGGTGTAGGGAAAGCTGGAAGGGTAGGGGAAAGCTAATAAGAGAAAAGGAAAAAATACAAGAAAATGAAAAAATGGAAATGAAGTGTTTGTAAAGGGGTGGAGGAGAGGTGAAGGGAGGGCAGGGAGAAGGGGAAAAAATGAGAACCAAGACCTGTCATGTAAAGATACAAGATCCCAATAATGAATAACTGTACTATGGGAGGGCAGGGAGAAGGGGAAAAAATGAGAACCAAGACCTGTCATGTAAAGATACAAGATCCCAATAATGAATGTAACTGTACTACATACCTAAAATGTACCAATAAACTCAATGAGGAAAATGAACTTCATTCACAAACTGATTTTCTTATATTACGAATGATGTTCATCCTTATATTAAATTTCTGTTTCTGCTGTATATCACTTTAGCTACATTTTTAACTTAATTAATAAGATTAGGGAATCCTGGGTTAAACTTAGTGAAATCTCATATATAATGTAGGCTAAATCAGACTGATATTAGCTAGCATAACTAATACAAACATGATATTGTCTTTCCTGATATTAAATATGTTATTATGTCCTTATTTGAGTGCACATTTTGTAGTAACTCTGCAATTCAGAAATAAAATGATTTAGTTTCTGGTCTCATTGATTAAATATTAGACGTTTCTTATCAAGGAGACACATGTTGGATGTCATGCATCTGCTATGTTAGGTTAGAATACAATTTTATATCGGATGATGCTATGGAAGGGAAAGAGAGACAGCTGTTATGAGAAGGGAAGCCTAGGGTTAAACAATCCTCTATCCTCTATTGAGCTCTCAATCATGTTTGAAGCCACTAGGACTGTGGAATCTTTGGTTGGGAAATAAATCCTACCAAATAATCATGTGCCAGTTTTTTTTTTTTAACCGGCACTTAATATTTGTGCCATTCACAGTTTAGAATTTTTTTATTGATCTTAATTCAGGTAGGGAAGCAAAACTTACCCTGTCAATTTGCTTTGAATGTCTCTGGGGACATTGTGTTCAAAGACACTTTGTATAAAAATATTTAGAGGTCACTGTGGTTTAAATATAGGTAAATTATTTTCTTTAGTTCCAAATTTCTCAAAGCCCTTAATATTGTAATGCATATTGAGAATCTATTAGGTATCAGTAGTTTTCTAAACTTATTTGATCATAGAATCTTTTTAGTGTTAATTTTTCTCCAAAATGCCATCCAGACTTGGGGTACACTTTTGAAAATGCCTTTTTGAAGACTTGTTGGATATCCGAGATATTAAAGCATAAAGGGGTAACCTTCATTAAAATTGGGAGTTGAAATAGTATTAGGACCACTCACATTAATAATGATATGAGTTATTAATCCTTGCCGACTATTTTACAAATAATGCTAGAAACTCTGAATACCAACCACAAGTTAGGGGAGGGCTTCCAGTAGTTTATAATTTCACTCTTCATCCACTAAATTTCCAATAACATTTGGAAAATCCTGTCCAATACAAGAAAATCTAAATTTGGTTGACAGGCCATAAACCTTGCCTCCCTTTCTGGTCTTCCATATATTTCATGTCCTTTGAAAACCTTATCGGCTTCTATTGAGTTTTTAAAAGTAATATGTCAGGTTCCAATGCTCCTGCTGCTTTAAGGAAAACTACTCTCACTAATAAATTATAATGAATTGTCAGTCTCAACAGGCCCACAACCTTCCAGCAGTGGGGATTTGAAGCTAAGCTCCATTTCTCCCTCCTCTTATTGAAGTCTCTCTTCTTGCTTTGGCCTGTCCTCCTAATTTATGTGTGGGCTACCCACAGGACAACTCACCTGCAAAAATAGTTCATGCTGTGGTGTGTATTATACTAAGTAGGTTTCATGCTGACTGGGAGTTTTTATAAGGGGATGGAGTTGCTGTCAAGATCTTCCATCATCTGAGCAAAGCTGGCACTCAAATTCTCTCATATTTCAGGGTATTAAATTTAGTGGGGGTAGAAATAGGATGGTTGAAAGTAGAATAGTAGACAAGAGTGTGAAGTCTGCTTGGATGACTTGTTCAGGGCTCTCTATCAGTGTCACTTCAGTAAAATGTATTAACAAGACAGCAAAAATTAAAAAGCATGCATTAGAAACATTAAAATCGTGCCGTGCTAGCGCAGGGTAATGAAAAATCTCTGCAGCCTACGTGAAGGAATGCTAACGTGTAAAGCTTGCAGTTGATTTTTTTGGTCAGCAGAGTGAAATATTCATTGGACATATTTTCTTTATTCTCCAGTTTTAAACATTCCCAGTTTATTAATTTAGTATGTTCTCTTTATAGAGTATTTGAAAAGAATACAATGCTGTCAAAAAAGAGAATGAAAGGAAAAGAAAGAAAAATCCTACTATGCCCTTTTAAGAGAAATTATTCTTAACACCGAGGGTTTTCCCCCATTGCGTCTTCTATGAAGTTTTTCCATAGTAGTGAAAGAATAATAAAATTGTAAATTCGTAAAATCTTATGCCTGCTTTGTTGCCTAAGATCATAAGTATTTCTCATATTACTGAAAACTCTTTGTGCACACATATAATTTCTAAAGCCACGTAGTGTTTTACAGCATTTGTGTATTGTTTAGCTATCCTCGTATTGTGGAGTTGGTGCAACAATATTCTTAGCCCATGGGCTTTT